AATCCTGATCATATTTATTTAAACAACACTTTAGGAACTAAATACTTGGGAGTGGTATGGGAGCATACCAGGAAATTGGATCCTAAGTTGGCTTCCAAACTTTAGCATTTTAGACAACTTTACCATTATCAGGTGGGGGCAACTAGTGCTGCAATCGCAAAAACCATTATGCAAATTATTAAAGTTGAATTCCTCATACATGCTCCATATGTGTATTCACGGTAATTGCAAATGAAAAGAAACTAAAGCTGCACATTATTTTGAATGGGAATCATCCTTACAACTGCATTTCTGCACATGGTGATCCTGCATCTCCACTTTGAATTCAACTTATTGTGCAGATCATGTTGCTTTATTTGTGCAGATGCACATGTACTCTTATCCAAAAAAAAACAATTCATTAATTCCATCCCTACAAACACTCATATTGCAATGCTGTTTAATTGTGCAGCCTTTAAAAATACTTTTTAGTATGAGCTGACATAGATGCATATACAGTATAGGTGTGGCTATCCAAACTAAATGAGAGTGCCTAGCTGCTGGCCATGAGTATTCACCTTTGAAAACTAATGACCTCCAGCTTCACCTCCTGAAGCATGAAATCGCCACCAACAGGTCTGTCAGTATTTGATGGCTGCTATTCCTCTGAACAAGTAATATCAGCAACAAACATTACAATAAAAAAAGCATCATTAATTTATACATAATTTATATAGTCTTATTTGCATGTCTGAAAATTTTAAAAACAAAGGTCTAGTCTTAGCTCTAGAAAAATTATTTTTTTCAGTAATTTAGCTTCATACTAAATACTTTACTTAACCACAGCGTGTTGTACATCAGTGATACAACTGAGCAACAAGTAAATAAAAATCTATAATGAATGAACACAATAAATTAGAAAAATAAATCTCAATTTCAGTTTTTTTTATTAAAGTAAGTATATTAGAACAGGACAACACAGACAATCAAAGGACAATTAGGCATACACATACTGATATTGAAAGGACAATTCACAGAGACCAATTAATCATGAATTTCTCAAGCTATATAAAAAATCTATATAACATTTTGATTATTTAAAATATATCAGTAAACATAACAGAAACTGTGAGATGTAGACTTCTTTAAACTGAGTTGACTGAATAATACTGACGACATAAAAAAAAAGGCTACTACTTTTCCACAGGAGGTCCTGCAATTAAAACATATGTTAAAAGGGCCTGATGCAGCCAAATATACACAGGAATTAGTAAATGTTTGTACAACTTTATTTTCTGAGAGAAAAAATAAAAAATAAAGATGAAGCTTGAACTGTGCCATTTATTTTTACCTATTTCCTCACTTTTTGTGTGGTCATGCTAAAGACCCACTTGTTTCTGTAGACAGGAGAGGCTGCAAGTATCACAGCATTCTAGAACATTCCATGAAAAAAAACCTGATGCATATTTTATATTATAGACCTGTGCTTCACAAGGGTAAAAACAATTCTTAAAACACTAAATTCACGTTTACGTGTTAAGCAGCAGACCTTTGTGTAAAGTTTTAAAGTAATGTAGCTTTATCTGTTGCTGATTTTCATTTTATTTGCATGGAAAATCTGCTTATCATACATTTGTACATATATATTTTTTTAATCTATTAAACTGGCTTTTTGAATGCTGATCTGAATTTTCTGTCTGCTCAGGACTGCGCAGAACATGAGAAATGCTGCACCAATGTGTGTGGCCTCAATAGCTGCGTTTCTGCACGTTTCTCTGATGGCACCCCTGCTCAGCCGGGTGGGAAGGAAGGAGACAGTGGAGATAATTCCTCCATTGCAACCTGTGATGGTTTCATCTGCAGCCAGCAGGGGGCAACCTGTGACATCTGGGATGGACAGCCCATCTGTAAGTGCCAGGACCGCTGTGAGAAAGAGCCCTACTTTACCTGTGCGTCGGATGGCCTCACTTACTTCAACCGCTGCTACATGGACGCAGAAGCCTGCATCAGGGGAGTGACTTTGACTGTGATCCCTTGCCGTTTCTACCTGGCTGGTCCACATACGAGTCCTTTTCCTCTAGATACTACAGTTTCTCCAACCCCCACATCCTCCCAGGAGGACCCAATGCCTCCAACGCTGTACTCTAACCCTCACCATCAATCCATCTATGTCGGAGGCACAGTTAGCTTTCACTGCAACGTGATCGGCGTTCCAAGGCCTGATGTGACGTGGGAGAAGCAGAGTGAAAGGCGTGAGCGGCTAGTCATGAGGCCGGACCAGATGTACGGGAATGTAGTCATAACCAACATTGGACAGCTAGTGGTGTACAATGCCCAGGTCTGGGACACCGGCATATACACATGTATCGCAAGGAACTCTGTCGGAGTTCTCCAAGCAGACTACCCGCTGTCTGTTATCCGCCGAGCGGATGATTTTTCAGAGGATCCTGAGTTGCCCATGGGGCGACCGTTCTCTCCAGCAGACTGCCTGGCTGAGGTTGACACTAAAGTCTGCAGCGGGGAGCGTCACGTGGACTGGTATTACGACAGCAAGCTGGGCTCCTGCATGACCTTCAGCAGTGGCGGCTGCGACGACAGTCGTAATCGTTTTGAGACGTACGAGGAATGCAAGGCGTCCTGTCAGAGAGAGGGAATGGGGATCTGCTCCCTGCCAGCGGTTCAAGGTCCGTGCAAAAACTGGGAGGCCCGCTGGGCCTGGAATTCCTTGATGAAACAGTGCCAGCCGTTTGCTTACGGCGGATGCCAGGGAAATGCCAATAGCTTTCGCACTAAAAAGGAATGTGAGGCAAACTGTCCGCAGGCCAAACGGAAACCATGCAGGACTTGTCGGATGAGGGGGAAAATGATGCCCACCTTGTGCCGCAGCGACTTCGCCATCGTTGGGCGGCTAATGGAGCTCATCGAGGACCTCGATTCTGGTTTGGCTCGCTTTAGCCTGGACGAGGTACTGAGGGATGAAAAGATGGGCCTAACTTTCTTCAACACTAAAAACTTGGAGGTGACCATCATCAAGATCGATTGGAGCTGTCCCTGTCCCAACATCACCATGGAGCACAACCCCTTGTTGGTGATGGGTATGGTGCAGGATGGCATGGCTATCATCCAGCCAGACAGCTACGTGAAAGCCATAACTGAAAAAAGGCTCCGCAGGCTCAGGGATGCCATCAATAAAAAAGCATGTGAGAAATTGTAGAGAATGATAGGACACAGTTGCAGATATTACAGTCTTCAAGAATATAAGTGACTACACAATATTATTTAAAGTAAGAGATCAGATGTAGGTAGTCCAACAGAGTTTTTATTACATTCAGGATATTGTGAGCTATTTATGCAGAGTTATAATGCTATTTTAAACATTACATTGATTACAAATAAAAAAAGATATGCTGATTAAAATCAATTCTGTAACATCCAGATTAGGACCCTTCTATATCAGCGGTAGTCTGTTTATGTTATGTGCTCTTAAAAACATTTTTGAGTGTATTGCTCGTATAGTCACATCTTTTGTTGTGTGATGTACATTTTCTATTATGTACTTCTAAATAGCACTTATGCTTAGTAACTAATATAACAGCTGTTTGTCTTAGGGTAGAAACAGTACATATTGATGTAAGGGTTTAACTGTGCAATACATGATAGTAGTTTGCCGTAAATAATACCAGATTAAATAAATGAGTGTCAAGTTGTTATGATCCCATGTGTTTGTTATGAAGGCAACATATGTTATTCAGGCAACAATTAGATGATTTAAGTAGAAGTTAAGGTGTTTAGACCGCCCTGCTTCTTAGAAGGATCACCTGGACAGGTCACACCAAACTCTCTTTTCTGAACAGGAGACATTTATTGTTTGCTGGCATTTCCACCTAAAAACAAAACAAAACAAAAAAAAAAATCCCAAAACATTTTCTTTTAGTTTAAAAACAGACATTTGATTTAGCTTTCAGATAATTCTGCAAATACTTACTATTTTCTCCAGGAATAAACCATTTTTTTGTGCCACTGAATCGAGAAATGAGATATCCTTCAAGCCCCATTCTGGATTCCTGAGAGATGAAACATTATGTCATGTTTATTTATTTATATATATGTTCTACTTTCCGCATTTATTAAATAAACTACATGGTAATGGTTACCAGTAATAAAAATGTGCAGAGGTCAGTTGCTCTTTCTTTATGTTCCCTTATTTTAAAATCCTAAACTGACAAGGATGTTCTACACCTAAATGGAAAATAGATTTAGAAAGTGCTTCTCCCACCTGTTGCTGTGTTTGCTGGCTAAATGAAGATGGCTAACCTTTTCCCTTGCTTATGTAAAAAAATAAAAATAAAATGATATTCCCCGTTTGATAAAACATGAAAAGGAATAAAAGTTAAAGCAAGCCCTACATGGTTTAAGAAAGTTGTTTCTAAACTACAGTTGGTTAGATACAAGCGACAAATCTATAGAGAGAGAAGAGAGTACTAAAGAGGATTTTTTTTATATTCTGACTAATAATGATTTTAAAAGTATGACTTTAGGTAATCTGTTTTTGCTAATTGTTTGGTAACTTTTGTGATACATTTTTAATTTCAAACCAATGTTCTTCTATTCTGAACAGTGCATGTATACTGAGATAATTAGCGTGGCGTTCAGTGTCCTGCTATGCCATGAACAGTGATGTTACTTTACTAATGCTTAAACTGTTTTTTCTTTTCTTTATATAAACTGACCAAGTGGGAACAAACTTTCAAAGCTCTGTCTATGAGTGCCCCCAAGTGGTCAGATAATTGTAAAACAATAAGAAAGTCGGTCAAGAATCCAGCATACCAGTTTGAGTAAATCAAATTCTCAAGTACTGCATGAGATTTTATAGAATCATTATCCGCTCACTGCTGTGACCTCCAAGTAGGAGACTCATTAATTACATTACTGTGGTGCACGTGCAGTATACGTGATGTTTAAAAGCTAAAATCCTCATGCTTTACAGCTCAACTCATAATAAACATGCATAATTTTATAGAAAGGTTAAGTTGGAGCTCCTTAATCTCCCATGGCATTATTTTTTACCCCCACAGCAATGAAGCAAAAGCGGAGGAATGCAGAAATGCAAGGGAGAAATGAGGATAGTTTTTGATGGATTCTGGCCAAGCATCATAAGCCTTCAAATGTGTTATAATTACTTTCTTCAGATGGATTTAGGCCAAAATAAATTGAATTATACCCATCATGTAAGTTTGTCAAATTTAATACAATTAAGTTATACATAAGGCAGTAAAGATTTGGGCTGCATGGTGGTTCATTTTGTAGCACTTGTAGTCCTTGAAACAACGAGGTCTGTATGTCTCTGTGTGGTCTTAGGTTACTATTGATTGAATAATTACAGAAAACACTCAACTTCAAAGAAATATACTTTGGTACACAATGTACAGCTTTCTTTTTATTGTGCATTTTGCAACAAGCTAATCACAAAGTGAAAGTGCATTTATTTCAATAAACAACTGGCCACCTTACCTTTGCCTTAGACTATAGTCAAAGTCCACATTGCTTTGGGGGGTGATCTGTCCGTTTACTGCATACGGCTGAGAGAGTATCCAAAAACCTTTATTAATCGTTAGGGGTCATGAGTGGTTCTGAGAATGACATGAAATGTTTTTCACTTACCCCGTATGTCAACAGAAGACCCTGTGGCTTCAGCAGCACTCCAGCCCCTTTGAATAGACCCTAGATGAGAGCAGTGAGGCCTTTAGGCTACTGGAATTACATCACATGAAGTGGAGGCAGGAAAATGGAAAACCACTAAAACCTTCTTGTGGAGAACTGCCTCCAGTTTATATCTGAGAACTCGGATATGAAGAGCTGCAAAGCAAATATGCTCAAGGGGAGCTTTATTCTTTCCATGTGACTTAATCATTTAGCCAAACCAGGTCAGTTTATTAAAAGATAAAAAAAAATACCATGCACAATTTAAAACACTAAATACAACCTCTCTTCTACTGCAATATTATATTCAGGTCTCCTTTGAAACAGAGGTTGTTAATCTCAGTGGTGACTTTCTTGGTGAAATAAAGGCTTATTAAAGGGGTCGTAGACTGCAAAACCGAGTTTACATTGTCGTAGATGAATAACGATAGTTCAGTGGGTGAAATGGACGTAGAGAGAAGTTCAAACCCCATTGACACCTCTTTTCTCTGCAAATCTCACAATTCTAAACTTCCAGCATAAAACGGGCAAATCCAAACGAAGCCCTGAGTTGTTCCTGTGGTAAGACGTGCAGCTTTACAGCAGCCTGATGTAAGGCCATTGGTGTCAACAGCCACACACTGCATTTTTCATTTGGAGGTCTATGGCTTGGCAAAGCTAATAACCCCTTTTTTAAAGGAGGAAAGGAAGAAAAAACAAGGGTCAGATAGGAAAGGGCTCATAGATAAGAGAATTTGGGTACAAAGTTATTTTTCTTTGTGGCGAGACCTCAAAGCAAAGCCTGGATGCTAAACTGATGCAGACCAAAACCGCTAACCTCTTTTAGTGTTACCATTGTGACTCTAGAGTAATTTTTGGGGTTCCATTATAAAACATGGAGAGGCTTAATCACCTTATGAGCTCAGAAAACCAAACAAAAAAACAGTTTAACCTAAACGCAGACTTACACCTAACTGATTTGTAAAGTGATGGTGTAGTGGTTTGAGCAGTGCTTGTGCTCTGAGAAGGGTGCAAGTACCCGGTTTGATCCCTAAAGCTTGCACTCTGGGTTCCTGAGCAAAACCCTTAACCCCACAATGCTCCCGGGCGCCACACAATGGCAGCCCACTGCTCCCCAAGGGGCGGGGTTAAATGCAGAGAGTGAATTTCCCCATTGTGGGACAATAACGGGATTTTCATCAGAACTTATATTTACATCGTAATTAAACAGAAAAACAAAAAAATACCCAAATGAATCAATCATGAACATTAAATTTGTAAAAAAAAAAAAAAAAAAAAAAAAAAGAGAGAGAAGTAAAGGACAATAAAAACTAAATGATAAAAAAAAACATATACTAAAGCTGTGTGTTTTTTGACATAGAGCTGCCCTACATCTGGAGTTTAAATGGAAGCCAATAATCCCTGTGTCCCTTTAAACCCATAAATCATCCTTTAAAGTCTTAATCTGCCTAAAGACCAAACCTCTCCAGTAAAAAAAAAACAAAAAAAAGCATGAAATACTTCTATAAGATAATATAACATGAAAATGTAAAAGAATAGCTACTATTTTCAAGAATAAATAAGCCCTAAATGGTTGTTTTTGCTGAAAGATGATATGAATGGGGCCTTTTGGGTGCCATCTTTATGTCAGTTTGAAAATCGTGACCTTTTTGGGGTTAACTTGTTAAATTTTGCAATATCTGGCCTAAAACTGCCTTAGTGTTGACCTATATGATTTGAAGAGTTCCTATGGCTGTTGAGCTTTCCTATTGGTTCAAAAGTAAATATCTCCATTCCAGCCAAGTGCTTGGATATAATAGTGCTCCCGATTTACCTCAGAGTTTGGAAATGGGAATTGGAGCGATGTAATCTCAGAAGTGGTAGAACTCAGTTTTATGCTTGTGGATGTCCATCTATGGACATTATAACCCACATGGTTATAGCCAGAACATTGACAAAAAAATCACTCTTCTATGTGTTGCTTCAACTTCAGAGTATAAAAAGAACACACCATTGCCCTCAAACTTCAATTCATGTGGAGCCAGGAGTTGAATTGAGGTTTTCAGGTGAGCATTTCCTCACCTGTTAGTGTGGTGTTTTATTTTAGGTACTTGGACTATGTAGTCATGTTAGATTCACTGCTGCCTTCCCTCATCCCGTTCACACCACAGATTAACTCCCTCCACTCGTCCCCACACTTGGCCATTCCGCTTAGTGTATCTTAGTACTGCCTGCTTTGGTGGAAGTTTCCAAAATCTGTCTGGGGGCGAGGTTATTTTACAGGAAATAGAGTAATAAATGATGAAATAATTATATTCCCTTTTTCGAACGAAAAAATCATATTTATTTACGGACAATATAATTAATTACATATTTATTAAATAAATTCTGTATTTATTTCCAGTTTTAATAAATTAAAGACGCATTTAAATCATTATTTCACAATTTATTCAGTTAGACCTGTCATTTAAATCCCATATCAAAGGGGTTTCTAGAATTTCATGAGGCAGATATTTTAGTTATCAGGCTCCTCTCCT